GTTGTTTCTAAAGTTAAGGTAGTCAGAATGATAGCAAATATTCGCAGTGAAGATGGTACCTGAAGAATTGAATGTGAGACGTACAGGAGGAAAGAGTTAGGTTCAAAAATTGGGAAAATAATACATCAGTTGTCCAAGAATGAAAACAAATTGATCAAAGTATCATCTGATATCTTTCTGAGAGGATACTCCGATGAATAAAAGCTATAATCGATAGTGTTAGGACCCAAAACTATTGTGTTCTGTATGTTATATAAAAATGTATTAAACTCACGATAGAGTTTTGGTGGCAACGCACAAGTGAAATTATTTGATATACAAGGTGGTCCTTAAGTAATTGTACAAAAAGAAACCGTAGATTAAACACTTTAAAATATTACGATTTAAGTCAAGTTGCTTTAATAAAATGTTGATATTAAGAAAGATACAGGGTGTTAACGTGGAAATTTAAAATTTTATTTTTCGCTATAACTTTTATATTTGTCAACATTTATGTATAAAAATTTACAACTAGGTACTGTTAAATATTAGAAATTATAATTTGATGTATACTTTGATGTAGCTGATAGAGGGCGCCACATATGCCACATATGTGGCATACATTTACACGTAACTTTTTTGCTTTTTAAGTTACCGATATTTTTAATAAAAAATATTAAAGATACGTTATTTTAAATATTAAAGATAATCGCAATTTAGAAATCAACTACATAATTCTGATTTATCGCAATTACTCCAAGCAACGAAAGAAAATTAAGGAAAAACATCAATACCTCTGAATTTTGGTATAAAATACCTTTAATACAGTTAATAGTTAATGAATTATCAAATAAAATAAATATATCAGCAGAATAAAATAATAGGATTTGATAAATAACAGAATAATTGGATTTTACATCAAACATTTTATTTTAATTTGTATTAAATTAAAGTCATAATCAAAACATTTTATTTACAAACCAAATTAAGAAATAAAGTAAATAAAATTAAATTTTTGTCAAAGTAAGTGTTCACTATGTCCATCATTTTCTTTAATTCATTTGTCAATACATTCCATAAAATATCGTCTCATATTAAATAGCGTCATTGGTTCTGAAGAAACTGCTGCAGTATTTATTATAAGTGTTATAAGTATAATAATAAATAATTGTTTGAAATGTTTATGAATTAAATAATTATATTAATATTTCACCACAAGAATATGACTACCATGAACAATCCAACTTTCAGGAAAGTTGTATTTAAATACTGTCTCACTCCGCTTTCTCCGTAATGTAATGGTTTACCATCTTGTAGAAACCACATATTTCGCCTTAAATTTGATGACAATTCTTTCAATATATCAATAAAATCATTTTATAAAAAATGTAAATAAATCTCATTATTCAAATTGCAAGATAATTCGCATATCCATAAAAAATAATTATCAATGGTTCCAAACCATAGGACATGCATTTTAAATATTAATTTTGAATGATGTTTAACGGATATGCCAATTACCTTTCAATTTGAATGGTGAGATTTATTTACATTCTTTAGAAAATGATTTTATTGATTTATTGGAAGAATTGTCATCAAACTTAAGGCGAAATATGTGGTTTCTACAAGATGGTACACCATTACATTACAGAGAAAGCTGAGTGAGACAGTATTTAAATACTTCTTTAAAGTTTCCTGAACGTTGGATTGTTCATGGTAGTCATATTCTTGTGGTGAGATATTAATATAATTATTTAATTCATAAACATTTCAAAAAATTACTTATTATTATACTTATAACACTTATAATAAAAACTGCAGCAGTTTCTTTAGAACCAATGACGCTATTTAATATGAGACGATATTTTATGGAATGTATTGACAAATGAATTAAAGAAAAGTGTGGACATAGTGAACACTTACTTTGACAAAAAGTTTAATGTTATTTAGTTTAACTATTGCTTAATTTGGTTGGTAAATAAAATTTTTTTATTATGACATCAAACATTTTATTTTAATTTAATACAAATTAAAATAAAATGTTTGATGTAAAATCCAATTATTCTGTTATTTCATCAAATCCTATTATTAATTATCCTGCTGATATATTTATTTTATTTAATATTTCGTTAATTATTGACTTTATTAACGTATTTTATAACAAAATTCAGAAGTATTGATGTTTTTATCTATTTTTCTTTGATTGCCTGGTGTAATTGCGTTAAATCAGAACTATGCAGTTGATTTGTAAAATGCAATTATCTCGAAAACTATTGAGTTTTGAAGTTATTAACAAGTATACCTTTTTTTTTTTTTGTTAAAATAATGTATCTTTAATATTTTTGATTTTTAATATCGGTAACTTAAAGAACAAAAAAGTTAAGTGCAAATTTATGCCACGTATGTGGCATATGTGGCGCCCTCTATTAGCTATATCAAAGTATGCATCAAATTATCATTTCTGATATTAAATAGTACCCAGCTGTAAATTTTTGTATATAAATGTTTACAAACATGAAAGTTATAGCGAAAAATAAAATTTTAAATTTTCACTTTAACACCCTGTATCCTTTTTAATATCAACATTTTATTAAAGCATGTTGGCTTAAATCGTAATATTTTTAAGTATAGAATCTGCGGTTTCTTTTTGTACAATTACTTAAGGACCACCCTGTATAATTCAATCTCTGTTTTTTAATGTTTCAATTTCCACTTCGGATATCGTTATTAAAATACAAACATTAATTGATTGACTTGACTTTTATGTCAAAAATACTCAATTAACTTTAAATTATGTTCAAAAAATAATTGTATAAAATGTTATTTCATTTTATGTTCCGTATTGTTAAAAACTTCACTCTTTCAAAAGTTCGTTGGCGACTAATGAACCGTGTTTTTTCAACTTATCCTGTCATAATTCTAAAAGTGTCGTAAATCGTTTCATTTATGACATCTTTTTATATTTTCCTCACCAAATTCATTAAGCTAAAAATTTTCATTTGCACGATTCCTCGTTTAGTATTTAACCCGTGTTTAAATACTCCCACACTCAAAAACATTCTTAAGTCTAATTAATGCTCTTGACGAAGTACATTGAAGTCCCCTAAGGTAATGAATTTCGTCTTAATTAACTTCGAAATGGTGTGGAATATTTTAATGAAGTTTGGAAACAGCTTTTTATAAATAAAGTCGATATACATAGTGAAACAAACATTCTTTATTGCCTATCACCCAGTATCCACTGATTTGATACTGCAAAAAATTTGGTCCTTTTGTTTTTTTTTTTATATCCCGTGTGTTTTTCGAATTATATTGGACAATCCTTAGACCGTAGTAACTTACTATCCTTCAAAAGGAAAAGAAACGTAACTACAAATGGCGAGTCCGTCATGGGAAAACTTAAACTATTAAAAATTAGCAACATACATCTAGTCTAATAAATGTTACCAGACGATAGCTGAAAATAGTCACATATGTATCTGGTGCCTGGACAGTTTGGGCTTAGGAAGTAAAGTTTGTTTAGCAGAAAATGGTTGACTTTAATGAGTGCGGTCGTACATATTGTAGCGAGATTAAACAAAACTAGCGGTTCGAATTTATAGAAATATATTTATTTATAAGTTTACAGGTCGGTACTATCTCATCAACTAGCTTACTCCTAACATCGTTACATATATATACATATATATATATATATATATATATATATATATATATATATATATATATATATATATATATATATGTGTGTGATTTCAGTTGTTTTCCGGGTTTGACTCCGCGTTAAGTAATTTTGGTTTTTAGAAAAACCATTGTTTTGACGACGTTTCGGCAAGGTCACACTTGCCATTGTCAAGTCAGAACTAATCTGACTTGTAGTCTTCATATATATAAGTTACTATGTTCTAGAATATTCCCACCTCTAGTTCTAATTCAGTCAAATAAGTGACGGATTGTTCTCTTGCGTTCGAGAGATCTATGGATGGTTCTCAATGCCTGAGATGCAACTGTTACACAGGCCACGCTGACATACATTTTCTCTGTGAATGTGAAATGGTACATGTTATGTTTGTTTTTTTTTCATGCAAGTCGCGTGTTGCAAACCGGTATACCTATTCCAGGATTCTGAAAACCGTACAGATCTAGAGCATTTTTATCATTTGAATTACCCATAATGACTCGCAGTCATGCAAGATAAGGTTGACTGTTTCAGGTCCTCTGCTTAGTGCAGCTTAAGTCTTCATGAATCAATCTCATTTTATGAAAGTACCCCTTGACTGCTACATGTCCAGTAAGAAACCCCGTTATGACTCCGAGCTGATTTCTGCTTGTTTTCAGGATTATACCGAATATGGTTTCCATTGAGAATTATGTTACCTTTGGATCCAGACTGTTTTCCGGTCGCGGACGATGCTTTTTGGCGAAGTCTGTTTTTTGGATGGAGCCCCACGATCGTGCTACCCTCACTGGAGACGGACCCGCTGGAGCATTGGTTCTGAGAGAATAGGATAGACTTCCTCTCGGAAATTGACAATATCCTTTATGCACGTTCGAGGGTCCCTGGTCTTCATCACTCGGGGAGGTAATCCTCGTTATCCATTTGTATTCTCACGGATTCCTTGATGGGTAAGGTTTTATTGGGTTCCCTGAGCTTAGAATCCCGCCCGCTGCACATAATATAATATGTATCCTCTTATCGAGAGGTGCCTGCGGCGGGTTGTGCCTAGGCCAGAAGATCGTGTAGTTTTTAAGTCATAGTGCTCCGGGAAATGTAATCTAAGTAGTGGTGCCGCTTTCGAATTCCCGCCAACCAGTGATTCCGTAAATAATGGGTCTGGGCACTGGTGTAACTGGCAAGGGAGCGGAATGACTGTTTTGCTAGCAACTTGAAAGTACTAGAGTTGACCGCATCCATCTGATAAAACTGCTAGAAACCATTAATTAATATAGAAAATTTTAATTTGAACACATATTATTTAACATAACTTTGGATAGATTTTAATGAATACTTCTGTTTACAGTCGCAGTCTGGAGATGGTGACGATCCAAATTCTTCAGAAACGTCGGGTCTAAATGAAGGTGAACATGAAATCGAGCTTGGAGAGGTAAGTAAGCTTTTTCTGTTCTTCAAATTACATCACTCTTAACGATCTTGAATTTCTGTTAGTTTCTATAAGACGATATTTTGGCAGTCTCCAATAGTTTAATGAAGGCGTCTGTAAGTTTGTCCGCTCCGTAATATACTAGTACCTACAGGAAAAATAACTGAATATTTTGATTTTAACTTCGATTTTAATATCGTGATTGATAGAAATTGCATGCATCAAAAGAGATATTAAAAAAAATACACAAGGAAAACAATTCCTGTAGCTGGCTGTATACCACGTATCACAAAAAAAAGAGGTTAGTCTTCGTAAGTGGGTATATTTATTTAAAAACCCTTAAAAGGGCTAAATAAAAAAAAACGTTTTCGGACTAAACAGTCCATCATCAGGTTTTAAAATCGCTAGGTTAAAATGCCTGAGCCACCAAAAATACATGGGTAAAAACCCTTTAAATTACATATAGTTATAAAAGATTATACATCTTGTTGTTTAAAAACTGTGATGTTCAGTATTAAATTAAATATGACTTCAGGTAACATGCATTGCAAAAATTGAGTTCCAGAGCCGGGGAGAAAACCTCTACGCACGGAGAACAGCTGGAAACTGATTTTAGACGATCTCAATATTGTTCTGAAGCTATTTTCTTGTGGCATTTTAAATTAATTACTATTTAACTGGGAATAAGCCACAATTAAAGATAAAAATACGTTTATTGTCGTTTCAATTTCCACTTCGGAAATCGTTCTCAAAATACAAACAGTAAATTGTTATATATATATATATATATATATATATATATATATATATATATATATATATATATATATATATATCCTGAAGAAGCAAATAAATTTTGCGAAAGCTAGATAAAAGAACAAAGAGTTTCACTTATCCTGCCCTATTAATGACTGCAACCTCAAAATAAAACTTTATTATATAATATATATATATATATATATATATATATATATATATATATATATATTATATATTTTATATATTTTATATATATATTTTCTGACGTTCCAAACTTCACTAGACATTTCAAGAATTTTCGATGTCATCTTGAATGTTCTCGAACTACTTCTTCTTTTTCGTCAATCGACTTTTCCTATATGGGATAAATCTTTCGTAACACTGCTTCCTCCTTTATAGTTATTCGCCTCGAATAACTGGACTATCGGGGATCGATTGAAGCCAACGGGGTGGATCAGTTCCATGGTATGGAGCTAGTCTCTCGATATGAACTACCTTGGGTTTACTTCTATCTGAAAACTGGATGCGATAGATTAGATCATTTATTTTCTGCAGGACGGTATACGGGCCTTCCCAGTTTCGTTGAAGTTTCGGACAAAGTCCTTTGCATGTCGAGCCTGACCTTGGCTTTATCACTTTGAAGCTTCAAACTTTTACGAGCAAATTGGTAGACTTTTTCTAATTTTTCTTTCAAATTTTCAATGTAGGTCGGGAATGAACGTTCTTCTTAGCAGGGAGGCAATCTCCCGAAAATAAGATCTTGAGGAAGCTACATTTCTCTTCCGGTGATCATCATTGATGAATTAGACTATCCCAATCTTTTTGATTATCAGAGACAAACATTAAAAGGTATTGACAAACAGTTCTATTATGTCTCTCGACCATTCCGTCTGATTGAGGATGGAGAGGCGTAGTGCGAATTTTCTTAATACCCAAGATTTTCATTAATTCTTGCCATAATTCTGATTCAAAATTTCGTCCTTGATCAGAATGTAACTCTAAAGGAACTCCATATCTTGATACGACGTGTGTTATAAATGCTTCTGCTACTGTAGTCGCTTCTTGATTAGGAAGGGGTATAATTTCAGGCCATTTTGAAAAATAATCCATTGCGACCATTAAGTACTTGTTCCCTCTCTCTGTTATCGGAAGTGGACCAAGAATATCCACTTCAAGTCGTTCAAAAGGCTCTCCGGAAAGATATTGTGCCATTTTACCACGACTTCTTGTTCTATGGCCTTTTTTACCATTACATAAATCGTATTTCCTACACAAATCTTCTATATCTCGGCGACAATTGATCCAGTAAAATCTGTCTCGAACTGTGGCCAGTGTTCTTTTGACTCAAAAATGTCTTCCAGAAAGGGTGCTATGAAGTTCTTGCAACACACTTTTAATGTATGATTTTGGCTGTACCACTTATTGAACTATACGTACTCCATCGGGACTTTCCCACTTCCGATATAATAGACCATTGGAAAGATACAGACATTCCCATTGAGCCCAGTACGCTTTTATAGTTCCACTGTATTTGGTTATTTCCTGCCAAATAGGTCTTACTCCATTTTTAAACCATTCTCGTATGACTTTTAAGTCATTATCTTTCTTTTGACTTTTTTTTAAGGTTTTCCAGGGAAGTGATCATTATCTTCTTCCTGTATAACTGTGGTTACCTGGAGACTTACTTCTTCGGTTATGTTCTCTTTATCTTCAAGTCTTTTATAGTACTGGCTATTGTTTGCGTATCTGTGGTCAGTTGTGGGAGATCGATTTCCTCTACTAGTATTTCTAATAGGTCTATGTGATGGGCTTCTGGATGTCGATCTAGGCGACCTTTTAGCCTCATTATTTGGATGTTTTCTCTCTGTTTGGGATCGGCTTCTGCAATTGTTTTGAAAATGTCCTATTCTCCCACAATTAAAACATCTTCTGTTTTCATTTCGAGGTTTTTGTTGAAGATTTTGCAGTATGTTTAAAATTTGGGATAAAATAGGTTGTTGGTTATCTGCGGTTGTGATTTTTTCATTTTCTTGAAATCTTATATCTCTTAATTTTGGGCGAGATCTGGAAATGCTTTTTGCCGCTTCATACTCCTGGGCTGAGACTAGTGCTCCATTTAGCGATTTGTGATGTTGTAATCGGAGAGCTTGTTACATTTCAACATCCTGTAGTCCATCTATGAATGTCTGTATTCCAATTTGTTCCAGAAAATCTTTAAGTGCCTAAGGGTATGCCAAGTGCAATAGTCTTTTAATATCGGCTTCAAATTCTTGCAGGCTTTCGTCATGTTTTTGATATTGAATTTTTAGCTGACTTTGGAAAACCTGATTTAGATGCTGCTGGCCATATCTTGTCTCTAAAGCTTCAACGAGAGAGGTATAACTGGGTGCATCTTGGGAAAGGAATTGCAAAACGGTTGCTGCCTGTCCTCGAAGCGACACCACCAAAAGAAGCTGCCATTTCTTTTTCATTCCAGCCATTTGCTCTAGCTGCAGCTTCAAATTAAAAACGATAAGATTCCCATGCTGTCTGACTATCGAATGCGGGTGGTTTTAAAATTTTACTAGTTCTAATTGTACCTGGTTCAATTATGGAAGGTGATGAAGCTGTTTGCTTAGATTCGACGTTAATTACTGAAACATTAGATAAAGAATCTTGGGTATTAATTTTTTTTTAACTCAACTATTTGTATTTGTAAATTAGATTTCAAATCATTTTGTTGTTGTTCTATTTTATTTTCAAAATTGTTTTGTTTTTCTTCTAATTTATCTATTCTACTAGTGATTTGACTTACCTCTAACTGAAAATTTCCGTGAATTTGGGATAAACCATTTATGATTTCTACCTCTATTTTTATACGCCTCTCCTTTTCCTCTTCCTCTTCTTGCCTACGCTTCTTATTTTCCGCTTTCTCTTCTTGCCAACGCTTCTCATTTTCCGCTTTTTCTTCTTGCCTACGCTTCTCATTTGCAGATTTTTCTTCTAAAATTTTTAAAAAACATGCAGGGGATCCGGAAGTATCCATTTCTTTGTCAAACTCAGTGGATCTTGTATTTACCATTAACAACTGCTAAATATTTCTTTATCCCACCGCTGGTCACAAATGTTACACTTCTTGAAAATTAACTTTATTCAACACCAACAATCTTACAATATTGTTATTGTCATACATTTAGTTTTGTTGGTAGAAATGGTCACATTTAGTTGGCAGCTTATTTCAAAGAACTGAAAGAGCTGTCTCTGAAGATCATCTTCTGATTCGGCAATAATTGATTAAGTTAATCAGTTTTTTTAATTCTCCTGAAAATTTTGCTTTTTGGTCCTTAGCCCTGCCATGCATACTTTCCATTTCTTCAATTAAATTCAATCAGAAAAATTAAAAATATACACTTCTCCAAGAAATTAACGCACCACTTTGAAATATAAAATTTTTTTATTAACGTTAATAATAATTGCAAGCCCCTTGTATATGATATTCGTACACTCTATATTTATTGACCGTGTTTTATCGCTATAGTTTTTTTTTGTAACAAACCAAAAAGAAGCAAAAAATGTACTAATTCTATAAATATACTAATTTCCAAGTGTTCACGAATTTTATTCGGCTACTGTTTAATTGTTGATTATTGGTAATTGTATTTATTATGGAATGTCAATCACGTAATTTAACCCGAAATGAATGTGCTCAAGCAGTGATACTGCCGGAAGAAGGTTGGAGTTACCGAAGAATTGGTCGTCGGTTTAATTGTCCCACACATCCGTCTCACGGGTATTAGAAAGATTCCCTGAAACAGGGGATCATACTCGCACTCGATCATACGAGGGCAAGGACGAAACCGGGTAACTACCCCTATTCAAGATCGATTATTAAGATTTTCTGCTCTTCGACAACATTTGGTAACATATCGAACTCTGCAAATTCATTTTGAGACGTGCATGCTATACAAATTAGTACTGAAACTGTTTGCCATCGACTTAAGGAATACAACTTAACAGCTAGGATTGCCGCCCGAGGTCCTCTATTAACTGCAGAGCATCGAAGGGGGAGACTACATTTTACCAGAGAACACGTTAATTGGTTAGAGGCTGACTGGGAACGAGTGCTATTTACTGATGAATCCCGATTTTGTTTTTACAATAACGACAGACGTATTCGTATGTTGCGACGACCCAACGAATGATATGCTCAGTGTAACTTCTCACACACCACATTTTTTGGTGGAGGATCTGTTATGGTGTGGGGT